AAAAATTAAAGATAACTAAATTAAACCAAGTTTCCCAGTTTTATACTTGGGCAAATTTTATAGAACAAACATACTTGTATTTTCTCCAAGAGAGAAATAAATCTAAAAAATTTAAAAGGAAACACTATTGATTGGAATATTTTCCTGCATATTCTAGCTGAAGTGCTTTTTCAATGCCATGTTAGCAATGTTGATATCTCATCTAGTTCCTTCCCATCACGCTTGCAAACACAAGGGATTCTCTGACCTTGATACAGAAAACCCTGCTTTACATGCTGCTGCAAGCTATTTTTGCATTCTGTGTTTTGCATGATTCAGAATAGACAGTGACTATATCAACTATATCAACTAGTGTCAGACTATGAAGACTTCGAAATCTGAAAATCTGAGAAACTACCATCATCTTCTGGAGAACACAGCACTCATTTTAACACAAACTGTACAGAACAAGTATGTTAGTTCGAAGTAAAATACATTACACTCATATATATGGGGCCAGAAGTCTATGAATGCTGCATCTTTTAGCCAATAGGATGATAGTCTTCGAAATTCATCCCATTTGGATTATTTGATAATGAAATTTGTAATACTCAGAGTTATATCCAATAGTTACACTCTCTATTGATAAATAAAAACAAGTGTTAGCGCATGATATCAACAGTGTAAACACTGGATACCAGCTCACTTGTTTCTACTTGAAAGGTTTTTCTTACTCCCACATACCTCACTGCCAAATTTCTACATATTTAGTGCTTCTGAGAACTCCTCAGTCTGCAAAAACTGATGTTTTTAACAAGATTCTTACTCTTTCTCTGCTTTTTTAACTTCCAAAGCAAAACCCAAGGAACAGTCATTCTCAGACTACACAGTGTTACAAAGGAGTGCATCATCACACACCTGGAACATCATTTAAGTACATTAAGCTTCAATTTAGAATCACAGAATCATTTAAGTTGGAAAGATCTTTAAAATCAATGAGTCCAATGGTTAACTTAACACTGCCAAGTCCACCACTAAATCATGTCCCCAAGCACCACGTCTACACATCTTTTGAATGTCTCCAGGGATGGTGACTCAAACACTTCCCTGGGCAGCCTGTTTCAATGCTTGACAATCCTTTCAGTGAAAATTTTTTTCCTAATATCCAATCTAAACCTCCCCTGGTGCAACTTGAGGCTGTTTCCTCTCATCCTATTACTGGTTACTTGGGAGAAGAGATTGACCCCCCCCCACCTGGCTACAACCTCCTTTCAGGTCGTTGTAGAGAGCGATCAGGTCTCCCCTCAGCCTCCTCTTCTCCAGGCTAAACAACCCCAGCTCCCTCAGCTGCTCCCCATCAGACTTGTTCTCCAGGCCCTTCACCACCTTCGTTGCCCTTCTCTGGACTCGCTCCAGCCCTTCAAGGTCTCCCTTGTAGTGAGGGGCCCAAAACCGAACACAGTACTTGAGGTGCGGCCTCACCAGTGCTGAGTACAGGGGGACGATCACTGCCCTGGTCCTGCTGGCCACACTGTTTCTGATACAAGCCAGGATGCTGTTGGCCACCTTGGCCACCTGGGTACACTGCTGGCTCATATGCAGCCAGCTGTCGACAAATACCCCCAGGTCCTTTTCCTCCAGGCAGCTTTCCAGCCATTTAAGTACTAATTAAGCTCATTTTTACTCTCAGCAGCTGGTGATAGCATCAATTGTCTGTCTTTTCCAGATGATGTTTTTCATAAAAGCATTCTGTTACCTGCTCCAAGGTACACATCTACTTACGTATTTTATTAACAAATCTGTAAATACAAAATGGGTGTTAGAAATCTCAACTTTGTCCCACTCAGCCAGAGTTATGCTGTCACTTTCATACTCTGCTTCAGGCTTCAGATGCAACCATCCAGATATGGAAGCAATTTCAGTCTTTGGAACATAGGAGAGGTGAAACCAAAACCCTCCAGGCTAAGTTAAAATTAAACCAAGTTCTACTACCTGGGTAAAGGTCTTCATTTCTAAGCAAAAAAGGTGGTATCCTTTTCTTTTCACTTTGAATTGGCATTTATCGTCTTCAGAATTTTCTGTTTGCTTCGTGTGCAACTTGCTGTGAGATGTGTAACTAACTCAGGGCTATGGGGTGCAGCACAGAGATCAGTTACTGAGGCTTTTGGTCTACAAGTGCTGGTTCATCACAGCCACACTTGCCTCCTCCTGTACATCCAAGGCCACTGGCACCTTTTCGTCATCACTAAGTAATGGATAATGTAGAATTCAGAAACCTTTGAATATCTGCCATCAGCCTAACTGAGGGGAAATGCTAATTTAAGATGGGTCAAGAAACAGGCCAAATCACAGAAAATGTGACATGAAATAAAGTGAATGATATTATAGAATGTGATTAACTTGAATTGAAGAGTCTATCTAGAGCCAATTATACAGATCACCTACATGTAAAAAATTCTAAAAACTAAAAAAACCCGAACAAACCCAAACTACTAAATCTAGAGAAAAGAGGAACAAAGGCAGAGAAGACAAGATGCCCAATGTAACCAAGACAAACACTATGGGAACTGGAAAATAATTAGGAGAAATGAACTGACATAGGAAGATGTGGTAGATATAATGACCTAAAGATACAAGATGCAGAGGTTTGAAGGTGAGGTAGTAGACTAAAGGTCTGAAAGTGCAAGTCTGAATATGCAAGTTTTTCAATACGCAAACTTTTTTTCAGGTTCAAGACACAAGCAATGAATCCGCTCTTCAATAAAGAAGAATCCCAGCAAAAGTATTTCACAAAAGCAGTCTAGAGCTGGTTTTGTGGTCCATAAAGCAGGCAAAATCAGATATAAAAAGCCTGGCCAAAATTCCCCCGAAGAGGAGACCTGCAACTTCTCTTATACAGTTTCTGCTCATGCAATTTCTGTACAGACGTTCTGCAAATTAGATCCACCTGTTTGTAATACACTTCTACCTTTCTTTGGATTATTACTTCTAGCCTTTCTTTCCTCATTTCTAAAACATCTGATTTTCTTCAGTCTTGGAAAAACACGTTTTCTTTCTCAGATTAACAACAGGATGCAAATATGCCCTCAGATTCATCTGCACCAAATAGAATTCTTTGGGGGCAATGTTCAATAAATAATGAGCTGTGCTGACAGTAGAGAGAAATTTTCCATCTGTTCATCTCAGACCACTTTCAGAGTACTACCAGCACAGCTTGAGATGTGCAACAGTGAAGCCACTTAGCACAATCGTGCAGTGAACCTGACCTATGCTGTATCGATTTCAGGACTGATTCACTTTAATGCTACTGGCATCATTAGTTTCACTTTAGTGCAATTCTCAAGCAATGTTGTCCACCTATATTAGCAGGAATACCTGTGCCAGTAGAAGAATTTATGTGGTGATTTAGGTCTTTTGTCAGTTGATCTGAAGGAGCTCCGTAATGTGTACAGAGAACAGGGAGCAGTAATTTCAATCAAATCTATGAGTCAAGGTGTATTGGCCACTAGCTACACCTAACACAGTGAATCAGTCTGTTAGTGCAATGGGCATTCAGGCAAAGCACATTTATCTGCTGTTTTGGACCAATATATCTCTGATTCATTCTTTCACCTTTTTCTCGACACAGTGGAGGAGAAAAGCATCAGAAGAAATATTTTGTGCAAAGCTCTTACTCTCCTCTATTCTTTTTAAGATTTCCTGTTTCACCTGAAAAATGTGTATAAAAAGGACTGATCAACGTTTATTTTTCTCTCTAATCCTCTTCCTGCTCGCTACCCTCTTAAGTTTTCCAGATTTTCTGAAACTGTATCCACCTGATGAGCTTTCCTACATTTACACACATATGAAAACCTTACTGAAGTTTGGTTTGAAAAATTCCTTTTAGAATATTGCTGTACAGTTCAGCTTGCAAACTCAGCTTTTTAATGTCACCTTGTTCTTCGTAAGCCTAAAGAACTAGAAGAACTTTAAATCTTACCTATATGTGTACTGAGGTTGTGAAGTGCTTCCTCACTCAACAGTGAATGTGTTCATAATGTCAAATCATAACTCACTGGTTTGCATGAGAGTAAAATACTACCTGAGGCTTTGCCACTACAGATCTGTTGCAGTTCCTTGGTTTTCTTTATTTGTCAACATTTTTGATTGATTCATAGCTTGTGATTATTATAACAAATAACATGACACACTCCTTTGAAGTCTGAAACAGTGTAAAATTCAAAATACTGACATTATCATTCAACAGAAGTTTACAGTTTACACAAGACAAAACAAGTTGATCAATTTAACCTAGAAAAAGAAGCTTTTGCTCAAGTAAAGAAGTGAAACGGAAGTATAATGCAAATATTTAGCAAAGTTACAAAATAAAGAGTTTACATTTCTATTCAAATGTGGTACAAGAAGAATTTCCTTGGGTTTAGCCAACATGGAGGGATTTTTCAATTCTATTTTTCAGATTCTAATTAATAAGCAATGCCCTCTTTACAAAGTGGGAACAGCTGTTTTACAGGCTCTTTCTTTCCCCAATTAATTTAAATAGCAGAATTCACAGAAATTATAACTATTTCAACTCTGCTGATTTCAATCTACTGTTCTACTCTGCAGATTAAGTTTTTATCAATTTTTCACTCCATACATAGAAACAAATATTCTAGAAGAATGAGATGGAACCATTCCCAAAACAGTAAGCAAATTTTAGATTCATGTGGTTATATACATGAAAAATTATTTTTTTTTAAAGCAATCACTATTCTTCTTTGGCCAAACATGTACAGTCCTCCTCTTATAATAGACTTTCTTACTGAACTTCACAGTTATCTACAGTCAAACATGATCTATATGAATATAAAATATTCATGTAGAGGAAATATTTATATATTAATGATAAATACATAATAACATGTTATTATGCACATGCTATATTTTGCAATTGTTTATTATAGCATTTTAATTATATTAATAAATAAAAATATTGACTATTTTGTCGACTAACATCAGATTTTAATATTCAATCACACTTAACAGCATTCAAGCCAAAGCAAAAGGCTAACCTTGTATAACATTCACCTTTACAATACAAGGGGACCTCTTCAGTGGAGTTCCACTTTCTCACTTTATGCTTGCAACTTCAATCACCACCCATCTGACCACTAACTAATTTTTGGAAACATCTTTTAGCAGTTTGTCTTGTGCTAATTATTCTAGGGGATTAATTAAAAAGCCATTTGAGGACTCTTAAATAGTACAGACAACAGAGATGCCAACCAGTGAAGCTTTACTTCAAACTATTTGATTCATCAACTCCACGTCTACTTAAATGCGTGTCTTTATTGACTCTGGTTGGAATAGTGACAAGGAAATTTTTAATCAGGCAAAAATTCCAAGTGCTTCAGTGTGAATTTAGCCCAGGAAAAGCTGCATTATTCGGTTTTACAAGTATTCATTTTAATAAATGAATTCATTCTAACTTACTATCAACATCCAGTAAATCAAGTCTGACATGAAAGAAATTGTCTAACCTGTTCATTTCCTGTATAAGATTTTCATTACCATTATCTAACTTATAAATGCTAAATGAAAAACAGGGAACAAAACTTTAATAATTGTATTTCATGATTTGCTTTACAGTTTCCTGAAATTTGCCAGCAACGGCAATGAAAATGAGCATGATTTCTACCTATTTTATACGTAAGTTTACATGTAAACACAGAGGTCAACACTATTTATTTTAAGATCATCTGTTACTAGTTTGCTGCTGATGCACTTTGTAAGTTGCTATAGAATATATCTAAAAAATAGTTTCATCTACTAGCCTCACAATCAATAGTTATAAGTAAAATATCAACAAAAGCACAACGCAAGTGCTAGTCTGGCAGCATGCACAAAGCACATCGGCCTCAGCCTGGAGCACGTTATTCTGACCCGGGTACCCATACAGGGAGAAACTACTTTTACATTGGGGTGTAGCTCAGGCAGTGAAGAATCTGTGTTTCAATCTCTGATTTCAAAGACTGTCATATACTTCATAAAAAGAGTATAAGGAAGTTTCACAGAGAACATCACACACAGAGAACATCAACTCTCAGCCATAATCAACAGCCGTGTTCACTTACATAAGTGTTGACTGATACAGTACACAAGAATTAAGCCCTCACAGCACGATACGTTTATTTTGCCTCTACAGTAGACAGGATGAAGTTCAACTTTCCTCCGTGTGTGGTGTAATTTGGATTTAGACTTGCAGAATTATGTAAAGGAAAGTAAATATACCAACAGACTTGTATCTGGGATCCAAGAGATAGATGGATGCGCACAGCTGGGCCTCAGGATTCCCCTTTTACATTTTGCACCCCAAATTTGCTAAATTTCTCTCCCCAAAATCTTTTTATTTCATGGTGTTTAGAAGAAAATTAATTTCCTCTGTAAGACAGCCTGTGAATCCTGACAACTAAACATGCTAAATAATTTTTACAAACTCTTACCAATAATGAAGGAGCATACTAAAGAGAGACTTACTCAAAAATCTTGGGTTTTTTCCCAGGGAAACTATAAGAAGAGAAGGGAAGGGAAGCATCCACCAGTAGAAAAAGCGATGTTACTACTGGAAATGGAAGCACTGAATCCAAGCACTGAGTCCCAGCATCACCACTCTATAATAGCACCACCTTGCCAGTAGCATTTTTTAGAGACAAAGACAATAGCAAAAAGTTGCAGAACCAGAAAACATTGCAGGAAGAATGAAAGACAAGTAAACAGACTTTGCAATGTATTTGCTTCCTCATGGAAACAACAATGTGTTCACTGACCTAATGCTGACACATAAAACTTTTGTAAACACCACCATAAAGTTCACTGGCATGGTATCTTAATGCCCAAACAGGACTGTATGGGATGTCCTCTCTCTGGCCCCCCAC